ATTTCATTCTATTTGGGACTCTTTAGCTGGATGTACCTGCATCACGGAGTTGATATTCACTCTGGGACTCAATCAATTGCATTCCTAAACATCAATGAGAAGATTCGAGTAAACAATACCAAGTGTTATAAATAACGCTGTCTTTGTTGAAAAATGAAAGTAACTAAATCATTTTTCCCCATTAAGTTGAATTGTTTTGGTTACTTTAATATTTAATTTGGTAAATTTCACAACCTTTTTGTTAGCTAATTCAATTCTTGTTGGGTTTCGATTTTTTATTGTACGAACGTAGGTTGGAGATTCTTTAGCATACTTATTGATTTATAACATGATTTCAGGAACTTTTGCAAGATAATATAAAGATTATAATTCCACTTATTGTAAATTATATTAATTATTGTTTAGACTGAATCTTAGAAAAGCGTATAGTTGTGTTATTTTACTTAGTTTACTTCTTCTGGAAGCATCTTTATTTCTTGCTCACTTGTTGACTTTCTCAATCTTTATCACGTACTGATCGACGATATTCAGCCGTTGAAAACCAGTATAAGACCACTCAGGGGCAATAAGGATTCGGAACCCTACTACAAGGTATTAAACCCAGGATAATAAAATCTCACAACCAGCGCATTGTCTTTGGATCATTGAATCCGTATCCAATGGTTTGCGTACCAAAATTGAGGATGTAATATATTTACGCAATATTTCGAGCCAATTGAAGTTAAACGTGTCAACTATCGAGTGCCAACTCAGTAGTTAATTGGTTGTATTTGCTGTGAGACATTAGAATCCTAGTAGGTATCACTACAAAGTTTTGATTTGATAATTTTGAATAAATTGAGCATTGGATAGATTGTTATAAATAAATAATATATTTGTAATATCCCAATGATATTACAAATATATTATTTATTTATTAGAATCCTAGGTTTGATAGGATCGTGGGTGAGCATTGTTACTAATGAGTTTAATGTTAGGACCATCCCTTGTGGTTTTATGTAGTCATCTAAGATCAATCTGTGATATCAACTATGAAATACTATAATTAGTATAATTATAATTTCTGAGGAAATGTGTTAACGTTGAGAGAGCTTTTGTTTTACAAGTACTCAGAATCTATTTATGTACCTCATACTCTTTTAAAGTAAACTTTAAACTATATTATTTTTATGGAGTACCATAAAAGGGGGGACTTTAATCTTCCGATAACTTCAATCTGGTAAGCTCTAACTAAAATGTAGGCCATCTCAAGCTTTGAAAGTATTCTGGTAAGTGAATGCTTTTTTCGATACAATCACATTTATTTGAAGATCTAATCAAGTAATTCATCATACAATCTCTAAAAAATAGTTCACATTTTACACAGTAACTATCAACATGATTAGATACTTTTTTCTGAACACTACTGTTTGAGTGTTAGAAACTGATAAGTCACTTCTATAAATCGCTATATTCATGATGGATGCATGAATCATAAACTGAAGATCACTCTACTGAAGAAACAAAATTGCGTACTATTGTAGTGCATCAATAAGGAACGGTTTTATGCTTCTAGCCAATTTAAATGCACCACATACAGTACATTATACGTGACTTGAGTAACGCAAAAGTAGCTTATCAGACTGTAACATTGGGTGACGCGGGTTTGATTCACACAAAAAGTTCAGTAAACTCGAAATTCTAGGTATTTCTTGCTTACGCGCGATAGCTGGCACAAAACCTAGATTCTATGTTTCCTAGCGATGGTTCCAACCACCTAATATCGAAACTTGGTCGATCATATATGTAGTCACTTAGATCTCTGAGTACTTTTTAACGTGATCGGTATCATTCACTCAGTACCAAGCACAAAAAACTTGACATTCATAACTCTACAGTGATTAGTCAGTCGAAATAGTTGCCAAAGCTCGTTCCAAAATCGGTATCGTTCTTGATAGATAGTTAAGTGTTTTCACAGTAAGCTGAAAGCTAGTGAGTTTAACAATATGGTTATTTCATATATGACAATAACAAGGTATCTACTGAAGTGATTTTTGAGATATATATGGTGTGAAGGTGATTTTCATCATAAAATGACCTCATCTGAATTGATGCACTGAGCTAGACACAAATCAAATAATAGATAAGTGAACTTGATTGACCAAAAAATGGCTTTCATTTATAAATGATAAGAAATACATCACTGATAGCCTAATTGTCCATGGTAAAGATATATATATATATATATATATATATATATATATATATATATAGATAGATAGATAGATAGATAGATAGATAATTTTCAGTTCCTCTTAATTTTAAGTGAATCTCCAGATGACATCAATTAGTAGTGGGAATCATACAGAAAACCAACAACCTTTGACCAATAAATTCATACTGGTTGAACACGTTAACTTTTATCTAGATTCCGAGCCTAGTAGATAAATTAATTCATATGTAAAGTGAAAGGTGATAAATTCAAGTTTCATTGTGAACGTTAAAACTGGGATACCGGTAGATTCACCTGGTAAGTTTCAAATAGAAGTAAACCAATGACTTGAATTCCAGTGATAAGCATCAAATATATCAACGTTGATATAGTTATCCAATCTCTTTTTTATTTATTAAAAAGCCGAATAAAATTAGGTTCAACATCAATTCAATTCTCTTTGTGTAGATCATTATATTAGTAAAAGTGTTTTACATTAATTTATACATAATAAAAACGAATCATATCCTATTAACAATGTAAATTAATTTTACATATGTGTAATCAAATGAGATTTTGTAAATAATTACAAAAAAAAACGAGTAAATGAAATTGGCATAAAATTCACATTGTATGTGCATTGGTTATGAAGGTGTTGTGTTCTTCAAGTTAGATAATACAGTTATCAAACCTTTATTGTCTTCATAAACGGAACAATGAACTTATACTTCAAAAAGAGATTAGCTATTAGAATTTATTCATAATTGACTTGAAACTAGTTCTTTAGATTAGAAATTCAACTGAATATTCTCCATAATCACATGGCCGTTGTTTACAACATTTCAGCATTATATAATATTAGAATGTTACCTCGTCAATACACAGATATGAAAATTAAATAAAATGAATTGTGATGAGAAAAGGAGAACAATAAAATGAGCGATTTTTGTAAATAGCATTTGATTCAAAGGGTTAATCGATTATGAATAGACTTCAGTGATATATTTTACTTTACATCACATTTTAAATTATTGTATGAGGTAAATTGTTAATTCTGCTTATTCATCTTATTGTCATTTCTTCTCAATGAGATAGTGAAGAAGATTTGTAGCTCAGGTGGATGAAATAGAAGTTTGTGCTGATGTCATTCGGAATAACGATGAAAATTCCACGATCAAACAATCCAGCTCAGAAAACAAAGCTCCACCAAAACTTCCTCATAATCGATAATCTTTTGTGTGGTACGTTGTACTACTTGGGAATATTCAGTAGGTAGTTCACTTTCATCACTTAAGTATATGCCGTATCATACCGCACTGTTGTGATTTATAATATTCAGTTTACTTCGTATGATAATTGTGACTTCTTAAAAGTTATCATAGTTGTTTGTAGTTTTTGCGCATTCATTGAATTTACGTTTAAGTATAATAGTTTACATATTGAATGTTCTTAGTCTCCGACGGTTAGTTGGTGACTATCATTTATATTATCAAGTGTTGCAGCTGATAATGATACAGTTATTCCAGATAGCATTTTCCACTCTTGCATAAACTGACTTTCTGAACACTGGAGATACGTAACGAACAGAAGTTTGTAACCATCTTACACATATTTTCGTGATAACATTAGTGCTTTCTAAACAAGGTCTCTATTTTAGACTCTGATTTCCCCGGGTAACTCTCTAATTCGGTCGGAGGCTCATACAGGATTTGAAGCAAGTCGTCAGATATGATTTTGTCTTAAAAAGTAAAATGGATGTATATGAAATCAATCATTTAAATGACACAATGTATGATACTGAAATCATAATTAGTTCTTCCGGTTCATGTCAATAGTAACTCTATTCTTGAATCCATTCATGTTTATTAAGGGAATGATTTTACATGATTTTATTTATAATCCCTCTCTTTCACTGACATTGTTTGGGTTCGTTAATTATTACACTAACTGCTTCATTTTAAATACTTGAACATTAGATAACTTCAGCGAATTTTTTTATGGAATTACCAATTTTCCAATAACTAGACTACAAACGTCAAGACAGTTCTACTGTATAGAGCTGAAACTTGGAGAACTACCACAACTACCATCAAAAATATGGAACTATTTATAAACAATTTTCTACACAAGATACTCGACATTCAGTGGCCGGATACCATCGGCAACAGCCTACTCTGTGAGAGAAAAAACTAGCCTCCAGTTGAAGAGGGACTTAGGACAAGACGCTGGGCGTGGATAGGACACACATTACGGAAATCACCAAATTGCATCACGAGGCAAGTCCAAACTTGGAATCCCCAAAGGAAACGGAAATAAGGAGCAGACAATGAAAAGGATGAATAGCAACTGGAAAGGGTCGCCCAGGGCAGAGTTCGATGGAGAATGTTCCTTCGCGAGCAGTAACAGGCATATGTAAGTAGGTAAGTAACGTTGTGAACTACTAGCGGGAACTTATGCATTATTCTATTAACATTCTTACTTTTGCTTCATTCAAATTTATAAATGCGAATAAAGTTGTAGAAAAATGCAGAACACTTTTTGAAAATTACACTTAAATTTCTGGCATGAATACAAATATGTACGACTAATTACTATTTATTGTAATATTATGTCAATGAAGTAGTTGTTTATTTATCAATAATTGGATTGAGAGTTCTGATGAGCTCTCCATACTCCTTCTACGAGGGGTAACAGGTGTTGGTAAGTATGTAAGTAAACTAAAGAGGAGCTTATCACTTTTTGTAACAGAAGTATTGACTTGTTTTAATTAGTTAGTATGTTAAAATTTATAAGATAAAACTAGTATTTAGTACGTTCTGATTATATCTTTCAGTCTTTTGAAAACTAATAGTCTTGCTTACGGTATAAGTTTCTTTTGGTGAAAATGCGTGAGACATTACAATGATCCACTCTTATTGAGCACGAGATTTTCAAAATCCTGCTAGCACAGCAAAAAAAGGAGAAGTTTATAAATGACTTAAACATTACGTTTTCAAGTCGGGTTGAAACGCTTCTAAGTAACAGGCTTGATTGAGGCTTGTCGTGTGAACAAGAGAAGCAAAGCGAAATAAACGTTTCTTAAAATTAGTTTGCTTGATTGTGAAGTAGAAAGACGTTTTATCATGTGATACTATAATCTGTTTTTACGATGTAAAAATTAAGACTTGCTTAAAATATTCATACAATCAACAAAATGATATATCCTGTTGATATCCGGTGCTCAGATTACATTAGGGCATGTTTTATCTGTTAGTCATTTGGAAATGATTAAGTGTTATTCAATTTTTTGTCCTTCAGCTTGGCATAATATATCTAGAATTTTTAAATCAGTCAAATGTTTGTAGTTACCTAGTAACATCAACCATTAGCTCACTGTTTTCAATTGTATTTATTACTCTTCTGGATAGTTTCTGTTAATCAAATCGGCTTTCAAAGTTATCATTTATAATTACTGCTGACCGATGAGATAAGATACTACTTACATCTTTACTCAATAACAACGAATTATTTAGGATTGTGTATATATTATTTATGGATAAAGAGATCAAAAAATTATAATTAAATAAACCGAAGTATATTGTACATGCTCTTTTATCAATTACACATTTACAAACAAAACACTAACTTTGAAGAATAGTTCAGTCAAAGAAAAGATCGGAAGGGCTCATTTAAGATGTGAACTGTTCTATTGCGTTTCTGACTGTTATTCTAAACTACTGTTGTCAGTACAAACGACCAGGTTAAAGTCAACATAAGAGTTTTCATCAGTGGTTGTGAACCTTAGGTGGTATGGCTTAAAATCAGTTGGGATGAGGCTGGTAAGTTTGTTTTTTATCCCCCCATCTTTTTGGAGTACTAACATTACATACATTTTATTCCCTTCTTAAACTATATTTTATTCGTTTATTTCTCCTATTGTTATACTATTATGTTTATTTCACATCCTTTTTATATTCACTTTATTTATTTTATCTTTCTAAGTTGATATTATGTTATAAACATGGTCATCCGAAATTTATTTTAAGTCTCGGGTTGGTTACAGCTGATTTAAAAAGGATTGCTGTCGTCTTTTAAAGGTGAACAAGTGCTCACATATAAGCATGTTGTAGGATTGGTGTTGAAAGAGTAGATTTACGAACACGAGTAAACAAAATTCATGAATGCTAAAAGCTAAAACGGTGGCTAGGTAATTGATGCTATAAAGGTTTTAGCATCAGAGGGAAGGTGCACGTAAATAAAAATGTAAAGGACTGCAACCTAAAGTCGGAATCAGCTTAAAATTTAAGCACTAGTTTACACAAGCCTGTGAAAAATGTCTCAGCGATTTTATGGTTAGCTTTTACTTAGTGAGGGTAATGCAAAACAGTGACAACAATTAGCATGAAGACAAAAAGTAAAGTTATAAACAAAAACAAAGTAAATAAGACAGTTTTTACCGAAAGCTTGTTATGTGGTCCAAATATTTGAAATGTCTTTACAGTGCATTTCATACAGTAGTGCTAATTTATGCTCCAAGTGACTATGGATTAACTGTTCATGCCGATAATATATTTGAACAATATTTATTCATCTAAAGGGATGACTACTTACCTTTACTTAGGAAATCATGGAATTCTACAACAACGTTCAAATTATTATTTGTGATCCGACAGATATTTAAGAAACATGTCTCTGTTCACAGGCCAGTTGCTGAGTTCTGGGTTAAACTTGAGTTGGGCTTGAAGCTCAGCTGAACATAAGTTACTCTGCTGACCGATCTTAGCGGGAAGACCTTGGAGGAAACAAGCATGTTTTTCAAGTGGTCCTAAGGCTGCAAGACTTTCTGCTTCGGTAATTTGATTTGATGTCTCATCTTCGTTTAATTCATGAAGAATCTTTAGTTCAGGATTACAGATAGAAGAAAGTATTTTTTCGTTTATAGTATTTAGGTGCTTTCTATCTTGGCAGGTTTTGTTTTCACAATTTTTCAAGGCTAAAACATTTATGAGAAAATCGCGCTGTAATTTTTCAAATTACCTGTTTGACTTTTAATACCAAACATATCCTGGTCTAGTTTTAGGTCGAGAATAGTACTTTTATGTAAATCATCTGCGTCAGTAACCTGAATATCGCAGAAAGATAAAGGTATCAACATATGTGTTAAGTTAACACGGAAAATGTTTTCTTTAGCAGCTATGTTTTCGCACTGAAGATTCCCGATTTCACTCATGATGAGTTCCATCTTTTCGTCAAGTGATTTTTTTTCAGTTCTCAGCCATTTGTTTTGGAGCATTTGTTGAGAAAATAATTTGTTTAATGTGTCGATAGCATTTTCAATTGCTGAGCTTCTAATGTGCTCCGAAGAACACTCAATAGTTGTTTGAGCATTCGAATAACATCGGTTTTCCTCTTCGGTCAAATATTCTACCATTGATTCGAAATGTTGCTTCATATTAGTATACTCTGTTTCTAACATTTGAATACGTATTTCATTTGATTTCTTCGTCACATCAGAATACGTTTGCCATTGTCTGAGCTCCAACACAACATCTTTTGTGAGATTATGTGTTGACTTAATTTCATCTTGAATTTTTCTGACTTCATTTTCCTCCAAATCTCTTATCTTCCACGTTTCTAGCAAGTATTTTTTCACGTCATCACCTGACACAGTAGCGTAATCAGATGTTGAAAATTTTGAAGCTTTTATTAAAGTTTCTTTGAGCACTTTATCGCCTTCCAGATTAAGTGTGTTGAGAGTCTGTAACTTTTCCATAAGCATATTTTTAAGCGTTTCTCTCTTGAACTTCAGCCTGGAAAGCAAATCCCGGAGGTTACCTATTTGGTAATCAAGAATAGCTTCTTTTGGTGTTAATTTCTCGACCTTTGTCGGTTTCCTGACTAAGTTTTTACTTTTATTTTTCTTCGGTGGCATAATATCAACTCTGTGCAAAGTCAAGCGGCATTAGCAATTCATAAAATGGTTTGATAAAACAAAACAATATTCAACGGGTATAAATAGAAGGTATTTGTTTTATAAATATCTTATCAACAACGCTTTTCCCGCATCTCTGGATTCCATTTCATAAATTTTAATTGTTCAATCGAATAATAAATATATTTGTAATGAGCTAATGCAAACAGATTCAGATTTAGATTTGTGTAGTAAGGGCAGAAGGCCTATAGCCTATAGTATTTCTTTTCCAATATGGTTCTGTGGGTGCCTACTTTTCTCCTGAGTGAGTCGGTTGAAGGTGCGGACACCACTGCTTCGGATTAAAGGTTCCGAGAATGATGACTCAGTGTGGAAACCTGTATGCCGAAATTATTTTGTTCGTTCTTGGCATTTCTACTCGTCTGCTATGTCCTCTGAGATTTCCAGACCTAGTGAGTAGAAATAAGGGACTTTTTAGGCCCGTAATCATTTCTTAGCATCGTATTCATCAAAATCAGGTCACTTCTTAATCTGTGATAGGACAGAATAAAGAGATTTATATTTTCTCTTTGTATCCCCAAAGTGCATGTAGATACACTTAGTCGCGTTGATAGGCAGCAGCTATTCTTTAGACCAGTTAATCACGTTATTTAACTCTGCCTAAAGTGCTCATGCGTCCGCGTCTCCCATTATTTCCCGCCGGATTTTTATATCACCAGTGTATGATAACATTGGGGACTCAACTATACTTGGTAGATCATTTACATACAGTATAAAAACTAGAATACCTAGGACGGAACCTTGAGATACTCTAGTAAGTACTGATCTGCAGGCGGAGCACTTCGCATTTACTCTCATTCTTCTGTCTACGACGTACTAGGAAATCCCTAAGCCATTTTACAAAAGGTCCGGAAGCGCATAGATTTTCCATCCTCAAGAGCAGTCTATTTGTTGACAACTTATTAAATGTTTTGCTGAAGTCTTTGCAGATAACATCCACTGATTTTCCAATGTCTAGAGCCTTTATCCACTGCTGCTTTGCTATAAGGAGGTTTGTTTTGCAGGATTAACCTATGCCGAAACCATGCTGTTCGCTGTTTAACAAGTTGTTGGCTTCCACTTATTTCATGATCGTCTTTTTGACTATTCTCCTCAGTATCTTAACTAGGGAACTAATGAGGCTGCCAGGTCTGTAGTTCGATGAACGTTGTCTTGGTCCTGTTTTATGTATTGAAGTGACTATTGCATCCTTCCAGTCTATAGGTAACACATCTTGATCAAGTGACGTATTAGATATCACAGTTAGTGGGGCTGCAATATATTGTACAATTTGTTCCAGGATTTGGAGATGTAGCTCATCCGGTCCTGTTGGCTAAAAGTCTGTGCTAAAAGCCTTAAGTACATCATCTCGATCAAAGTCCATAGTGATCAGAAGGTTTGCTGACTTTGTATTTGGGTCTAGTTCTTCGTCCAGAAGAGGATCCTAAGTGAAAACTGTCCCGAAATAGTTCGCCATAGTCTCTGATTTTTCCTGATTATCCCCTGTCATTTCAGATTCACTGCCTTTCGTAATTAGGTTGAAAATCCAATGCTGAGACCTCGTTTTGTAATTTACGTACGAGAATTGTCTCTTAGGCTGCTTGATTGCAGATTGTGCCGATTGCACTTCATATTTTCTAAAACATCCAAGGATTTTAATTACACACATATTACTTGCTGTGCTAAGGCTGATGGCAACGTTATAACATTTCTTCTTTTGTCTTAGTAAACTCCAAATATCCCACCTATCCAGTGATGGTCATGTATCTTCCTCTTTAGGATCGTCCATGGTAAATATAGTTGCGTTGCTTGATTATATAACTGCCTGAAATTAGTCCATACCTTTTCTACTACAGCCCCTGAGTCAATTATCCAGTTTTCAGCCTAAACTGTAGGTTGATTACCACAATCTCTGCCTTCCATATGACAGGCTATCTCAGCTGTGAACTTGAATAAGAGGACTTAGTGATCACTTCTCCCTAGAGACGAGAGGATAGTTATTTGACTGACTTCATCACCGTGTGTGAAGACAAAGTCTAGGAGAGACAAGGAGCTTCATAATTCGTGTCTCATGGAATGTCTAAAGTGTTGGAATAGAGCTAGTGTAATTGTAGTTTTCAACAATTCGCAATCGAGTGACGTTGTTGATGACCCTACTTCTAAGTTTGCCCACTTTATATACAGTGCAGTAAAGTCGTCAACTATAAGGTTTTAGCCCCTATTACACCAGGACTTAAGTTTACTTAGCAGGAAGTCATCTACTACACATTCTGGACTGCGACATACAAAAACTAACTCATTATATTAACGTTTACATTTCAGCCTGTAAAGCACCAGTTCACATGTCTCTGAATCCTGTGCCACCATCTCAAAAGTTCGCATGGTCAAAGTACTTTATGTTTACAGGATGAACCCACCTTTTCTGTGATTTAGTCTGTCAGCCTTACTGGATAAATAACCAATCAACTGAATTTCGTTATCAAACACTTCCGACGTTAACCAGGTCTCTGAGACACCATTTTCTTGAGCTCCACCATTTTATCCAGTAGGCTGAGGGCATTTGTGTGGCGCACTTTTAATTCTGTGAAGAACTTGCCCTTACCACTAGGAGTGGTTTGTAAATCGTTTTGTCCCGATTCTACACCATTTAAAAACCCTTAAGTACAAGGTTTTTTCACAGTTTCGGAGGCGTTCATTAATATCTACTTCTGCTGATTGTCTCTTAATATGGTCAACCAGGTTGAGATTCTCACGAACGTATATTCTGAGTCCAATCAGTTTGTGTGAGTTTCCCACTACCAGGTTTCTTTCCTCAAACGAAGCAAAGGTAGCCCTCAGGAGGTAACTTTTCTGAGTACTTTCAGAATCCGCTTTTTTCAATTCTACAAAGCTTACAGATAATAAATCCTAAAACTGTTCATGGGAATGACTTGCTTATTAGGGACCTAATATGGTTGAGGTCGTGCTCAAGTCTACATCTAGAATGGTCTCCTTGTGGAGCTGCAGTTGATGAAAAAAATAATAGTTACCAACCTCGATAAAGCTAGAATAAGAAACCGAACCTCTAAAATTAGTTTGAAGCGAGGGTACGCTGAAAAAAATGAATTGTTTCTTAAGCTTCTGGATGATTCGAGGGCTGTTACATCTGCGTTCGGAACTCTCAGGAAGTTTTGACCCACGCCTCCAATGCGGATCTAACCTAAGACCTTTAGTTCTCTCATGCAACTTTTAGGGTCATCAAAGCTTAAGCTAGATGTCTCAGAGGAAGCTTTTTAGTTCGCTACTGACTTAGATGTGTTGTTTACCTATAGGATCTACAGCTAGTAACCTTATTGAATTCAGCATGTAATCGTCACCACACGAACAAGGTAGTTTCACCAAAGTGCGACCACAATGATTCATGTAAACGTTCTCGCAAAATTTCATACCTGCTTGTTTGGATGAGGCTCCATTCAATGTTTATTAAATATTTATCTGTATTGTATGCATTTATTCTTATTTCTCACTAAGTTTGGTCCCGTAGTTTGATAACTTACAACTCCTTATTCTTCATCTTCTTTCCCTCTTCCTTCACTCTGAATTTGGTATACTAATCAAGTATGACCTAATAAACCACAACCTCGTAACGTGATATCTACTGGTTGTAGAAGAACAGAAATAATTCAAATAAAAGAATGAAATAAATGAACTATAACATCGATGGACATAGTCAAAAACAATGAAAACGAATGTGAATCAGCTATGCAAAGTGTTACTTTCGAGTACCATCAGTCTTTGTGTGGATTAGATTTACGTGACGACGGGTACCCTCAACTCTGCCTTTAGCTCATCCGGGGGCTACTACCGGCCTCGAGCCCGTGTAAAGGAGGAGGGTTGGGTATGAGGTTAGCGACCCCATCCCGTAGAAAACCAACTCGCTAAAAAAACGCTAACCAGAAAAAATTATCCAAACCACTTAAACACTGCCCTGGGAGTTGAAGGGAGTATTATGACGTCTCATGATGAAATCCGAGTTCCTTCGGAATTCACTCTTCCCACTTTTTACAACCAGAGCAACAATTTCTATAGGTACATGGAACGTCCGGGCAATATGGGAGACCGAGAGAGTCTTCCAAATTGATGCAGAAATGAGGATATACAAACTGAAGGTGCTTGGAATCAGTGAAATACATTGGACGCAGGTTGGACAACAACGACTATCTTCTGGTGAGCTTCTGTTGTACTCCGGTCATGAAGAAGAAAATGCCCCACATACACAAGGAGTTGCATTGATGCTGTCTAAACAAGCACAAGACACACTTATAGGATGGAAATCTCATGGACCGAGGATCATCAAAGTCTCTTTCAACAGAAAGAGAGAGGGCATTACAAGGAAAGTCATCCAGTGCTATGCGCCTACCAACGACTACGATGAAGACGTTAAAGGCCACTTCTACGATAGGCTGCAGTCGATCGTCGATAAGTGTACAACAAATGATCTGACCATTCTGATTGGAGATTTCAATGCCAAGGTTGGAGTAGATAACACTGAACGCCATGGACTGGCAGAAAGGAACAAAAATGGTGAGAGATTTGCAAACCTATGTGCCTTCAATAAACAGGTCATAGCAGCATTATATTTCCACACAAACGCATTCACGAAAATACATGGACTTCACTAGACCACACTACGCAGAACCAAATCGACCATACCTGCATCAACAAAAAGTTCAGGAGGACGATGGAGGATGTGAGAACCAGGAGAGAAGCTGATATAGTATCAGATCATCACTTCCTAGTCGCCAAGATGAAATTAAAACTTAAAAGGCATTGGATAACGGGGTGGACAACATCACAAAAGTTTAATACGGCTTTTCTTCGCGATACTGACAAACTCAGCCAATTCACGATAGCCCCCAGCAATAGGTTCCAGGCCTTTCATGATTTACTCAATGGAGAGGGAACTATTATGGAGAGCAACTGGAAAGGGACAAAAGAAGCAATCATTTCAACATGTCCGGA